ATTTACCTAAAAGAATAAAAAGAATGATAAGATTAGCCATAAAATACTTCGAATGACACTACCAACAGGAACCGAATGTTCTCCCCACACGCCCCTGCAGCCAACTTCACTTTCAAGGCCAAGGAAGTGATAGACATCATCAGCCAGCAGAGGTTGGCAATACAGTATTGGATGTAATGGTAGATTTGGATGAGATGGCAATGCCCATAGTTCAGAAACAGGAAAATGGTGCAACCATTGTGGGTTTTGGTCATCGTGATGCAGAACTGGTGACTTGCGGTTGTAGTAGTGATGCAAAGGCATAGGTTAAGTTCTATTCAAGATAGTTAAAAGCTTAATAAATCAGATCACTAGAATTGCTATATTTTCTTCAATTAGAAGTGCAAAATCAAAAGCAAGATATTCTCACCATGCACGCATTATATCTACAAGTGCATAGCAGCCCAACACACAATAATGCAAGACAACTTGATCCAATCTATGATGTGGATATATTAGACATTGACCATTTGGCCATTTCTACATGTTCCATATGTAACATTCTCTTGACACTCACTACTTAAAAACTTTATATCTTGCTTATTGCTATCACTCCCCAATTCCCCTAGAAATCATGAATTGACATTTGACAAGTGGATCCATTGGATTGGCTCCTCATTAGCCTCAGGTTTGAATTAGATATGAATCTGCAATTCTATCAAGTGCATTAACCAGGTTCAATCTGACCTTTTCTCTGAACTGGACAAAAAACGGCCTTTCTGGCATAGTTATGGGCTTCGCTTGGAAGAGTTGGTTTTGGTCAGATTCAATCTGACCTTTTCTCTGAACTGGACAAAAACAGCCTTTCTGCATAGTTACAGGCTTTGCTTGGTGGAAGAACTGGTTTTGGTCATGGCGGTGCAAAACTAGTGCATGTCATTATTGTGGTGGTGATGCAGTTGTAAGAATTAAGTTTTTGAAGCTTTTATTTGGTCGCTTAATGCAAGTAGTATAATAAGGCTCTACAACTTGCATAAACAACAAATTCAACATTTTAAAAAGGCAGCAAATGATATTTACCATACCCAAAGCTATTAAGCCAAAGTAAGATTTTTCTTCTTTCTCTAAGCCTATACTAAAGTAACATTGAGTGGTGTATTTCTGCTTGCATGTGTAACATGTCATCCAGCTCCACCATAATGACACAGGCCTAAGCAAACTATGTCACAACACAACTGCAATCAACACTTTCCCAATATTCTTGTAGCCTAGATTCTAGAACAAAGTCACCTAAAACTAAGACCACATCTTATGTGGAATGAGGTGGGCTTAATCTTTATTACCTCTTAGGAGCTAAAAAACACAGACACGGTCCAGCAGCATGACACGGACACGCCACCATGACAATTTTTAAAAAAATTAGGAAACAAAAAGTAGAGGACACTCATAGAATATATAGCTCTATATATTTATTATATACCATATACTTGAATGGCCCTGTTTGGTAGGACTTATTTCCAGCTTATTTCAGCTTTTAGCTTAATTTAAGCTATTTTGATGTGTTTGGTTCAGTTTAACAATACAGCTTATAACTTTTTGTAAGTCAAAAATCAACTTATTCTTTGAGTGGGGGATGAGAAGCTTAATTTATAATCCTATCCCCCTTGAGTTTGCGGGGGGCTGTTAAAATCCACCCACTACACCACTACCACCTCACCTACTCCACTAAACCTAACCCACTACACCACTACCACCTCCACTTCACCTACTCCATCTACCACCTACTACCACCTACTCTTCTATATATAGGAATCATTGTAACATTCAATAAATCGATCAATATATCAATCAATAATAATACATACAATTTATTCTCTCTCTTTCTCTATACATTATTTCTTACAATTTATTATATATCATATACTTGAATGGCCCTGTTTGGTAGGGCTTATTTCCAGCTTATTTCAGCTTTTAGCTTAATTTAAGCTATTTTGATGTGTTTGGTTCAGCTTAACAATACAGCTTATAACTTTTTGTAAGTCAAAAATCAATTTATTCTTTGAGTGGGGGATGAGAAGCTTAATTTATAAGTCAAAAATCAGCTTATGTTCACAGTTATAAGCTATAAGCTGTTAAGATATAGGCCCCATTTGGTAGAGCTGTGGGAAAGTGATTATACCTTATACCTTAATAGCTTATAGCTTATAACTGTGAACATAAGCTGATTTTTTACTTATAAATTAAGCTTCTCCTCCCCCACTCAAAGAATAAGTTGATTTTTGACTTACAAAAAGGTATAAGCTATATTGTCAAGCTGAACCAAACACATCAAAATAGCTTAAATTAAGCTAAAAGCTGAAATAAGCTGAAAATAAGCCCTACCAAATAGGACCATAATCACTTTCCCACAGCTCTACCAAACGGGACCAATGTATCATTCAGTGATAATAATAATAAAAATGTAGCGTATCACTAATTCCTATAAATCTATTGTTTTTCTTTTATCATTGTATCCTAATTTTTTGTTCAAACATAGAATTAGTTTCATGTGTGTCTAAATGATGTATATGTGTATCCACCAAGTGTCCGAAGCGTGTCCAAGGTAAAAATAATAATAATTAAAAGAAAAGGGAAAAAAATAATAGGACACATTTGGACAAGTCCGAAAAGTGTCGGGAAGTGTCTGGGAGTGTCGGTTTCCGACACGGTCATGCCACCTTCTTAGAAGTGTCCGTGATTCATAGCTTAGGAGTTACACTTCATTCGTGCCAAAGTAGCAAACAGTAAATTGCTAGTATGGAGTCTAAATTTCTGCATAATAATATCAAGGCTGTGATTTTTGGACTCCATATAGATATTGGGGGTGCAAGGGGCATACAGGTGATCTTGCTGGTTGTCTGTATTGTACTTTTTATTTTGTTACACATATGGGTTGCATCCCCTTTGATGCTTTTTCAAAATATAACTCCTATTCATGCTTTGTTGCATCATGCCCAACTAAGGGGTAAGTTCAACCCCATTCATGCAGAGTTCACCACCAACATCAATATATTTCTTTTAGAAAACCTAAGATTTCACTAATGAGAAAGCATGCATAACAATGCATTGTGTTCAGGACTTCCTGTACCACATGCCATGTAATGATATATCTATTGATATTATTATTATCCTTAGCTTGCCCAAGGAAATTTGAGGAAAAGTTTCTATATTCCCTGTGGTTACTTATAGTGAGACTTCTGATGTCTCTAATGTATTTTGTATGATTATTATGCTCTTCAACGACATTATATAATTTCATGGGTTTCCCACAATTTGTTGTTTCAAATACGGATGTCAAGTTATGACTTGTGAGCATTTTTTCTTTTTCAATTTTTTTTTTTTTTTTTTTTTTTTTTGGACACCCCTTAAAAAAGATTGAACACCAAACTGAAACTCTCCACTTCTTTCCTCCTTCCAACAAATGCCACGTGATTCAATTTGCGCCATCAATGTCATGTGGCTCTATAACTCCACAAATTCTTGATCCCCTAGTTGTTGGGACAAGGCTTTGTTGAGATGACATGACTAGCATTCAACAAATTCCTTTTCCTTCAATAGGTAAAACAAGATATCAGGTTCTCACAATAAATAAATTCTTTTGTATTAAGACATAATAATAATTGTAGGGCTAGTAAGCAAACAAATCACAGCTGAGGACCACTAAAGTTTTAAAGTGGAGATAAGCTTTGCTACTGAAATTCCTATCCAGCCCATTGCAAAATGCATTGTGGTCAGAAGTAACAGAACTCTTAAGAAGCTTTTGGAGTTCTGGCAATAATTTTGAGGCAGCATGAAGCCAGGGCCGACCCAAGGTAATGTGAGGCCTAAGGCGACACCTCTAAGTTTGAGGCCTATCAATGGATTCATGCTGAAATTAAAATAGCTTAACAAATATTTACGTTGACAACCAAACTTGGATCCATAAAAATTAAGAAGTAAAATTATTTTCCCCTAAATTATAAACATCACACAAGCAAATTAAACTACAAAAGATAGCTAAAAAAAACTACTTTTTTGCCTCAATTGTTAATATTACTAATTAAATCTTTTTTTAATCAATTGGTAGAAGAGTAATTACAAATATGATAAATATTATATCAAACAGACCACTAGCCCAACAATAACTAAACCAACAATCACTAAGCCCAAACTTGCGAACAAATAAATAATTATTAAAACCTCCATAATAGGGTAGAATAAATACTACAAATATCAAACTCTTCCCCATAAAAGTTGAAACACTACAAATTAGTTAAACAATAGTGAATCAATAAACTTCAAAAATATGAAGAAAAAAAATGTTATATATTACCCATCTTTTGTCACCATTTTATATCACCGTTTATATGGATTCTTGTGATTGATTCCTTATTTGAAAATCATCATTAAACAAATACTGAAGGTAAATACTGTGTACTTAATCTAACTTTATTAACATCTTATTATATGGAGAAAAAATAAAAAGAAACGTGACCTTTTACATAAACAATTCCATGCGGTAAAAATAAAAAACAAAAATAAATAAACGTGGCCTTTTCATACAACAATTTAATATGCAAACTTATAAGAATATGAGGCCTTTTGAACAATTGTGGCCTAAGGCAAACGCCTCACGTGCCTTATGGTAGGGCCGGCACTGCATGCAGCAAAGCAGCAAGTTATAGGTTGTCAGAAAATATCTATGGCTTGACATACACATTATCTATACAAATGTGGTTTATTGCAAGGGTTGCCAATTCATTCATCAATCTTTTTCTGAGAATGATCCAAGAAATTTTATAAATGGTGTCTCTCAGCTGCAGAGGACCCGACTCGAGAACCAAATAACCTCGGAATTGCTTATCTCAGGACATTATTATGTTTTTACAGCATTCATGGTTTTGTACCCCATTCTTGTCAAAGGTTGTTTATTTCATTATTCATCGAGCCTGGGCCAGTGTTGGCAATTCAAAATCCAAGAGATCCGTTTTCAATTAAGTGAGCAAAGGTCAGTAATTTTCAACTTAATATTTTTACAGTGCCTAGAGAAAGTACTTCTAATTCAAATCTTTTGTTGCTAGTTTTAGTTAAGCCAAATGTATGCTAAAGAATATGAGGCTGAAGGCAAGCCCCTCCAATACTGACTACAAAAATAACTGGGCTCAGCAAAAAGCCTTGAAAAGAGAAGATGTGTGGTTATCATTACTTTTTTTCCCTTCTACTTTTGCACCACAAAAAAACAAGTTTTTCTGATTATACTGCAGTTATATAAAATGACTTCTTTTTTGGTTTTTAATCATATTGTAGACTCAAAGCATCTACTAATCTACCTGTGAAACGATTGCAACCGTCACTACCATACACAAATAATTTATTAAATATTTCAGGTTGCATTTACCCGTAAATTAAAATGCCAAACATTAATTTCCAAAGACTAACATAGCACCGAATAAGGCAAACAAAAGGATGAAGTTGTTCACTCACCTTATAGTACATTGTCTCATTTCTATCATGCAATCTGTTAAGTATCCGCCACATGGCTAAAGCATTTGGATCAGATGGTCCATCCCTAGCATTCAATTCAAACCTCTTCAGGTCTTCCACTGATTAAAACAAAAAAGTCTATCAGGTCTTCCACTGATATGTGACAAAATTTTAGAATGCCAACAAAGGAGTGTAAGAAGACTATCTAAAATAATAATAATTCATCTACTACTACAGAAACCATTCCAAATATTGTCTATGTAAACTGTCAGTTTATTTGTAGTACAAAACAGTAGAACATCTGGCAGGAACTGATGCAATAAACATCTTATTTCAAATGGCTAAATACATAAATTTTCAATCTTTCTCTTTTAAAATAAGATTGATTACCAGCAGCTGGGAGCTTGAATGGTATCTCTAGCCAGCACAATAGTGCAAGGTGCAGATATCAAGTACAGGAGTACCAGTTGGGATATGGTACATGTGTTCATCTCCATTACGTTAAATTGACACGTCATCTCCACATCACCCCCTTGCTGAGTTAGTTGGCACCATGAGGTGACTCACAAACCAACACATAGGACAATGACGAGTCTTCACGTATCCTGCTTAGTCTAAATCTACCTCCAGGATCTCATTCCATCTCTGGGATCTCGCTCCATCTCCAAGACCTTATCTCCAGGATCTCACTGCTAGGATCCATTCCACCACCAATCTCCCAATTGAGATTCGGTCAAATCCGTCAAATGCAATCTATGATCTCCAACCTACACTTAGTTCCTGAACATCCTAGGCTAGGAGCAAGCCCTTGGATCTCTGCAAGGGATTATTTGAGGGCTTCTAACTTGGAGACTAGACTCGAGGGATCGTCAACCAATATGTGACATATGCCTAATACTTGAACCTACGAGTCTACACGGCTACACCTATGATATCACATGCTTGACATTGTACCACCATGAGAAGAACTATCACATGGTACTATGAGTGTGATACTAATAGAAGATCTGCTGACCACTTTGATACGGCTGAAGACCCAAGCTCATTGACTTCTCCTAACGTTGATAATGTTGAGGAGATTCCTCCATATTGTTAAACTGGAGAGTGTAGCCATCTGAGCTCCACATACTAAAATCTCCTCTATATGGGGAGGTCTCCCCTAGTCAATCATCAAGCAATCAACTGCCTCCACACATAGCTCTCTCGTCCCTTGGGCATGAAAGATCTACATAGCCACCCTCTCTTTCAAAAGAGTTCCTCATCTTTCTCCTCATCTAGGTGCCCGCCATCTTCCCATTAGGCTCATCTGGCCACCTCACCCACCTTAATCCACAAAGAGTAAATTTTTGTTTATTTTGTATAGTTGGTTTTCAGAGACAGTTAACCCATCCTTGAACCAATTTCATTTTTGTAGAGACATCTGAATGGGTTTTTGATGTATAGTTCTTTTTCTCTTTCTTTTGTATACGGGTTGCACTCCCTTGGTGCCTCTTCTTGATAGAACTTTTATATGTATCCCAAACAAAAATGTTAGGACTTGCCAAAAGTGTTCAAAAAGAAGAACTAGCATCAAATACCCATGTGCCTAAACTCATGTAGGGTGGTAGATAGAAAGACCAGACCAGATCTAAGGCAAATCGCATTCATTAAGGAAGAAATAAAATAAACATATGGTCAAGGTCCCTATTAGTGCAAGCAAAGAAAATGTTAATCCTTCAAGCTCTCATTGAAAAGGCACAAGTGAGAATATCACATGACCATTTCATTCCAGAAAGATTCAAATAATAAAAATTTCAATAACAATTCTTTTAAGCAATAGCATATGGTTACAGGTAAGTCTTTATCTAAATCCAACCTAAAAATGAGACTCTTTCATTCTTAGCATATTGGATAGCAATTGAAACAAGAATTATGTAGACTGAATATGAGAGAGAGAGAGAGAGAGAGAGAGAGAGGAAAAACTTACTGAAGCGCTCAATTTGTTGTTCAAGGGACATAACATTTGGAGGCAGAAGTCCACGAAGATCAAGACGATCTCGTTCTGTCATGGAGAATGCTGTTCCCTAGTGTTCTTACAAAACGAGATCAAAATTAATTTTCTGACTTCAATTACGGGATGATAGAAAAAATAAATTATGAAACACCAACGTTGAGATAGCACAGCACACACGACAAAAGAAAACAAAAATAGATTGATGCCAAAATGTAATAGTTTCGAAGAAGTGAAAATGTTCATAGCTAATTTGGTCCAATAATGCCACAAATTTCCAACTAGATTTATCAAGTGTAGGTGTCTTGAGCAAAACCAACAGGCTTCCAAGTTCCAAGCTAACAGTCTAACACCACTTGGCTAAACCAAAAAAAGGGGGAAAAATTATATTTCTACACATTTCAAAAACTAAAAGGTGTGCTATAGAAGAAATTGCATTTTAAAATTAAGTATGATATGTGACATATGTACGCACATGTATCGAGAACAAGGCCTAGGAACCCCCCCTGAGGTTGATGCCTCAATTAACAGAGGCTCTCATGATGATGCATATTACTAACTTCTTATGACAATGCATCCATTGTAACTAATTACTATTTCGATTAACTTGAAAACATTGGTTTTTGTTGGATGTGAATGTAATGTTTTGTGACTTTTGTTAAATGTCATGTTTGTAGTTTTTAGAAGGTTAAATGTTGTGTTGAAGGATTTTTTTTAGAATGTTGAATGTTACTTTTACGGTTTTTTGAATGTTGAATGTTCTTTTATGATTTTTGAAATTCTTGAAATATTTTATTATGTGAGAAACTTTGCCTATATTAAAATTTTGCTTATCTTCTGTAGCGTGTGCCACTGCTCAAGCTACAAGAGACCTTGGCACCTCGATGTGCCTAAAGATTTTTAAAACATTGCCCCATAGGGGGTTTCATTGGTCAGCCTTTTGGTCTTTGGTAGAACTTTGTTTTTGGTGTGGGATTTGGTCACTTGGTGGTCCTCTTTTGTGGATCCTTGTTTGGTGTCTCCTCGTGAGACTTAAAACTTGAGGTTTTATAAGACTTGTTCGGAAAGGATTTTGGATTTGGTGTGAGAAATTATATCTTTGGCGAGCTTTGTGAGAATCTGGTTTGTCACAATTGTAGGTCTTTCGAGCAATCGTTCTCTACCGATAGTGGATACTTCTCATTGCCCGGTAACTTAGGCTTCCGTCCTATCATGGTATCTTGTTGCCCATTAACATAGGTTTAGACCGAACTACATAAATCTTGGTATATTATGATTATTTCTGTGTTCTTCTACTCCATACTAACAGTTTTTTTTCTTTTCTTTTTTTTTGATAAATACTTGACTTTTCACAACAACCAGTAAAGGAAGATCATTTTTTTTTTTTTCCAGTCAAATTAATTGACAAAATTAAAAAATCAAATTAGTAGTTGTTTTCTTAAATGATCACATACAATACAATCCAATCCAATCTTAAGTAGTGAAAAATAATAAAATAAAAATAACCAAAACTCAACAATAATTGAAACCTTTTTTGAATAAACAATGATCCAATAATAGCGAAGAAGAAAATAGAGAGTTGAATAAATCAAACAAAGTAAGAAAATCAGAAGTAGAAACAACCTTGTTGAACCAGGGATCGTGAAGAATATCGAGACTGCGCTTGTGGACAATGGAAGGACGATGGCCTTCGGTAGTGGTGAAAGATCTTGTGATTCTGTGTTGAAAACGCTTGATCAGAGACGAAGAACATAGTCTCATTTGACGAGAAAAGCTCGACATTGAATTTCAATGGTGGATCTAACAAATATTCAGGGTTCAACTTTCAACTCAACTCTATCAGTGTAGTATCTCACTACTCTACTATGGGTAGTGGCAGTGGCAGTGGCAGTGGCAGAGGCGGAGGCAAGATTTTAATCGAGGTGGGCAACGACTATTTATTAGCTGCTCCTATTCTCAAACTCTGAACAATAATTACCACACAAAAATAAATAAATAATAAATTGATCAATAAGGCTTAGAGATAAAGTTACGTTTTAGGGACAAAATATTTTAATTGTTAAAAATGTCATTGTTGTTTTTTAGTGACAAAATTAGACTTTTAGTAACGAATTATTATCTTTCTAAAATCAAAATTTTCGTTTTAAAAAGTAAATTTTTTTTTCAAGGAATTGTTGTCCCTATATGTGCATTTGTTAAAGATTTTTTAAATTTTTATATACTGTAATGATTATTATTATCTAATAATTTTCCACTTCTAAGAATGCTCTAAAAAAAATATAGTAAATACAAATAAGGGCTGATTAGTCTCGATTTTTTTTTTGAGAAATTACAGATCAAGTGTGATTTTCAAAATAATTACATACTCATAATAAAGTTTATAACTTTAATAGTTAAAATTTATGAAGTATATCATGAATGAATGCAATTTTTTTTTTTTTCAACCAATACACTGACTGGTTATTTAGGGCCTGTTTGATAACGTTTACGTTTTCAATTTATATTTGCAAAAATTTTATAAACTCGTTTTTGTTTATTTAAAAAAAAAACATAAACTACAAATGCGTTTACTTTAGACAAAATATTTTAAAAAATTTAAAATATAAAAAAAAGTGAGAAATGACAAGTGGTGGCGGGTGGTGGGTGGTGACGAGTGGTGGCGGCGAAAGACGGTGGTGGAAAATGATGGCTGGTGGTGGTGGCGGAAGACGGTGGTGGAAAATGGTGGCGGGGGGTAGCTAGTGTTGGGTGGTAAAAAAAAAAAAACTAAAAACTCAAAACTCAAACACATTTTTTGAGTTTACATTTTTTGGTCAAATTTATAAACTGAGACCACTGATTTATAAATCAAAAATATACCAAACAAGTTTTTATTTGAGTTTTTAAAATTTTTGTAAATATAAACAGAAAACTGAAAACGTAAGTGTTACCAAACGGCATCGACTATTTATTAGCTGCTCTTATTCTCAAACTCTAAACAATAATTACCTCACGGAAATAAATAAATAATAAATTGATCAATAAGGCTTCGTTTGGCAACTGAACTTTTTAGTTAAAAAGTCAAAAAATTATTAAATTAGTTAAAAAGTCAACAACACATACTAAAAAGTCAAAGATTTTATTTTCTCTCTACTTTTTGCCCATCTTTTCGTAAAAAGGCAAAAAGTCATCACAAACATACTAGTTTTTTTTAACTCATATTTTAGCCAAATAACCAAAAAGTTACTAAATTAGCTTGTTCCCAAACGAGGCCTAAGTCTCATATTTTGAATTTCTAATTTATATAATTTTTTTTTAATTTATTTAGTCTTTTGGATATGTAATGACTCATTTACCTGTCATATTAGAGTGCTATATTTGAAAAAAAGTACACGAAAGAGTTTTTTAGTGTGATATCATACCCTTTACGTTAGAGTGTCATATTTTAAAAAAATACACTAAATAGTTTTTAATTTTTTTAGAATATTACATCATACCCATCACGTTGGAGTGTCATATGCCACATTTGATAAAAATACACTAAAGAACTTTTATTTATTTTTTTGAAACGTCACGTTGTCACGTTTGGAAAAAGTACAACAAGGAGTTTTTATTTTATTTTTTTGAATTGTCATATTATACCCGTCACGTTGTCACGTTTGAGAAAAATATACTAAAGATTTTTTTTTGAGTATCACATCATACCAGTCACGTTGTTACGTTTAGGAAAAGTACACTAAGGAGTTTTTAATTTTTTTTAGAGTGTTACATCATACCCCTCATATTGTCACGTTTCATAAAAGTACACTAAGGAGTTTTTATTTTTTTTAAAAGTGTTACATCATACCCGTCATGTTGTCACATTTAAAAAAAATACACTAAGGCCTCGTTTGGGAACGGGCTAATTTAGTAACTTTTTGGCTATTTGGCCAAAATATGTGCTAAAAAAAATTAGTATTTTTTGGATGACTTTTTGACTTTTTACGAAAAGATGTGCAAAAAGTAAAGAGAAAAAAGAATCTTTGACTTTTTGGTATAGGTTGTTGGCTTTTTGACTTTTTTAGTAACTTTTTGACTTTTTGGTTAAACGGAAGGGTTCCCAAACAAGGCCTCAGGAGTTTTTAATTTTTTTAGAGTGTCATGTCATACCCACCACGTTGTCACATTTGAAAAAAAAAAATCTACTAAGAACTTTTTTATAGTGCCACATCATACTCGCCACGTTAGAGTATCATATGTCACGTTTGGGAAAAGTACACTAATAAGTTTTTATTTTTTTTAGAGTATCACATCATACCCGTCACGTTGTCACGTTTGGTAAAAGTACACTAAGGAGTTTTTAATTTTTTTTAGAGTGTCACATTATACCCGCCACTTTATCACATTTGGTAAAAATACACTAAGGAGTTTTTGATTTTTTTTAAAGTGTCACATCATGCCTACCACGTTGTCACGTTTGGGAAAAATACACTAAAGAATTTTTATTTTTTTTGAAGTGTCACTTCATATCCGCCATGTTATCACATTTGGGAAAAATATATTTTTTATTTTTTTTAGAGTGTCATATCATACTCGCCACGTTATCACATTTGAAAAAAATAAACTAAGATTTTTTTTTTTTAGTAAAATTTTTTTAAAGTGTCACATCATACCCGTCACATTATTACATTTAGGAAAAGTAGGGACCTTGTAATTTTTTGGGAGTATCACATCGTTGGAGTGTCATATCAATATCTGTCATATTGGAGTATCACGTCATACCTATCACATTAATAAAAAAAGAAATGTATAGTTGTCCACCAAAATACTGCCAAAATAAAAAATAGGACAACACGGAAAGAAACTTTCTACTAATAGAACTTAACAGGTCAATAGAAAAAATTTGGCACTAATTAAAGTACTTATTTGTGAGATTGGATTTATTGGTAAATATCTCAATAATAAAAGCGTAGATTGGTGATAAATTTTTATATTTAAAAAAATAAATAAATTATAGAGGGTATAAGGCATTAGATTCAATAAATATCTTTTATTATTTTTTATCAAATAGTTTGGTGATAAGAACTTTCGTTGTTTTGGGAGGACAATTTGTTTTTAATCTTATCTCATTAATTTATCTGCTGGCTTTTTTTATCGATTGACTTTTTGTTGGCTATCTATTCAAATTTATATCTATCTGTTTAAATTATTTTTTATTTGTTCAATTTTTTGCCCTTATCTGTTCAAATATATGTCCAAATTTTATTATCTATTCAATTTTTCCTCTTATCTGTCTAAATCTATCTGCAGATTTTTCTAACAAACAATTTTCAAGCACACTCTATCTATTCAAATATTTTTTATTTCAATTTGTCAAACCAACTCTATCTGTTGTCGATTTTTTTTATCTGTTGAAATTTTGTACCTATTTATCCTTCTCTCTATCTGTTAGATAAAGATATCCGTTAAAATCTTTTTTTTTTATGTGTTGCAATCAACAAGAGTAATGACCAAAAACAAAAGCAAATCCAAATCATTATCATCAATAACACCAATCGATAACAACAAAAACAAAAACAAAAAAAAACCTAAAACATTTGTAACAATCTACATACAACAAAAAATCATAGATATCTTTGAACCTATCTGTTCAACGATAACAAAAAAAATCACAGATCAACTTCCATCACTGAGAGAGAGAGAGAAAGAGGGAGAGTAAATCGAACGGATTTAGAGCTGATAGAGAGAGAGAGAGAGAAAGATGATATGAGGCAATGGTTCGATCTTGCTCTGTTCTTGTGAAATCCCAAATTTTTATATAATAAAAATAATGAGCTTGTTTGGTTCCTATTATCAGGATTCATTTTTCAAAAAATTAATTTTTTTTTGTTTTTCATATTTTTTTTGTTTTCACTGAATTGTTTTTAATATTCTAAGCAATTTTTTTTTTAATTTTTAGATGCATCTAACATAAAATACAGTTAAAAAGTATAATATTTGTGAAAATAATTTTAGAAAATTAACTAAATACCAAAATATATTAAAAAAATTACGAGAATTCAGTTCATTTATTGTATTCTTATATATTTATTGATTTTTTAAAATATTTTTTATAAATATTTTATTTTTTAGATACATCTATGTAAGGTGCATCTAAAAAATTTTTTAAAAAAATGTTTAAAATTTTAAAAATATTCACTAAAAATAATTTAAAAATACGAAAAACAAAAAAATTCAATTTTTAAAAAATTGAAATCAAACACAGTGATTATTATCTATTATAGATTATGGAGAAAAAATTGAAATTATAATTATAAATGTCCCTTCTCATTGATTGAGAGTGTTGTTACATTTTATGTATCAAAATCCCAACTTTTATGTATCAAAATCCCAGCTTGGTGCCCAAGTTTCTTACCCCGCACGTCCCTTGCTTGGAGCCCCACCCGGTCTCTTTCTCCCCTCTGCTCTTTGCTCTCACCATCCCTACATATCTATCAAACTATTTATCTATATTTATATATACATTTATATGGGAGGTTTGGTAAAGACTATTTTTTAACTTTTTAGTCTAAAATTTATAAAAATATAAATAAATAAATAAAGTTAAAATAGTTAATAAAATAAAATGTCATATCAAACTTATAATCATTTCACTTTTTCTCTTACAAACATCACATCTAATTATAAAAAAATTCAACTATCATCCCAAAACTATCTTCTAAAACATAAAAATTTTAGTATACTAAGTTTGGGTACTTCTAAAAAAGCCAAAAAGTCAAAAAGTTACTCAAAAAGTTAAAAAGTTAATACTATTCACCAAAAGTCAACAATTTAAAAAGTTAACACTATTCACCAAAAGTCAACAATTACGGCTGCACAACTCCCAATTCAAATTTTTCCCTATAAATTAATTTTTACAATTTTTTATTACACATTTTTCAATAAAAAGTCA